TAGTAATAATCAGTGTTAATGCCCGAATAGTAAAGGTTTGTGCATGTAGCAAGTATATGCAGCAATATTAAAGCAGAACTGTACAACAAACCTTTTTTTTTATTGTGAGCACAATGGGTGGGATTTGATCCCTGCTAGGTCTTTATTGCTGTTGCCCTAGAAAGAAAAATCACACCCCACCTTTAGTATTGCTGTGACAGCCAGACAAACTGCTGTGATATAAACTAGGGGCTAGGTATGTCATTTTGATTGCAGACTGCACTGCCAAGGGATAATCCAGGGAGTTCACAGAAAAGAACTGGCTGTCACAGACAGGACTCCGATTGAAGAAATATATATACAAAGTTTGAGAGAGGCTCAAACCCTGCCTTACTCTACCAAAAACTGGGTAGAGTTTCACTGTAATACCCATATTAATAATATTATTTAAAAAAACTTCCCTAATGATGAAACTATTTTACAAAAGAATAGGTATTTCTATATAGTCTGCCAGGTTTCAGTACATCAAATTCAACAGAGTTCATAAGAGAAGCAGCTAAGGATCATGAGACTGCTACCAATGGAATGATAAAGAACCAACACAGGTTGTTATCATGTGATAATTCTAAAGGACATTAATGAGTTTGATGGGAAAACTGTGTATAATCAGCTACTCAGGGATGACTCTGGGGAGGAAGCAAGGTCCTGGGAAGTGTGCTCTGCTTCTGGATAGCCTCCAAATGAAAGACCTTTCACCCTGTAGTGTTAAACATTAGAATTCCAAGCACACCAGTATTAACATAAAGGTTTACTTTCATCTTCTCAAATATTTGCAATGTATATCCATCAGCAGTAACATCTATAACAAACAACATAACATTGCTTTATTCTACAATGACACAAATAAATACAAAATAAAATTTACTAAAATGAATGCAGCAAAAACAGCCATACAAAGTTGTAATAAAATGCTTTCTAAACTTACAGATCTTTCTGCTCCAGATGTGACTATTATAGGAGTAGAATATTATGCCAGTAACTAGTTGACATACATAACTGTAAACTTTATATGAAGAAAGAATAGGGATATGGCATCTATTAACCCATGTTTTGTCTAGAAATTAATATTATCATAGGCATCACTAGACCCTGGCACGTGGGGCAAACAACCAGATCCACTTGTATGGCTTAGCCTAGTCTAGCAACAAGTAAGTTACCACTGGTGCAAATGGTCTATAGTATTTAGCTACCATTTACTACCAATATAGGGGAGCACTACACAACTAACAATCATCATCATGGAGTACTATTCTTACTGACTGACAATGAAAGATATCGCTTCTCTGCAGCCACCAGTGTTAGAGTGCAGTGCAGTACACTGACAACCATTGTAAGGGGCAACTTCACTAACCAACACTTTCTTCCAATGTGTAAGTGGGCATTTCTCCCACTGACCATTAATGTGAAGAAAACCGTGCCACTTACCTCCAATGTAAGGGGCACTTCACCAGAGACCACCAATATAAGACACAGTTTTCCACTGACCATCAATGGAAAGGAGCACTACACTGACCACCATTGTAATGGGACACATCCAATGACAACCAAAGTAAAGGGGTACTTCTTCCACTGGCTATCAATGTGAGGGTGAAAACCACTAATTTCCAATATAAGGGAGCACTTAAATAGCCACCACCACTGTAATGTAATGTGAGGGTCAACTTTGCCAATTGCCACCAAAGTAAGGGGAACTCCACCACTGATACCCAATATAAGGGAGCACCTAACTAGCCACTACCAATGTAATGGGACACTTATCCAATGACAACCAAAGTAAGGGGTCACCGCTTACGCTGATCATCAATGTGAGGGTGAACTTCACCAGTGGCCACTAAAATAAGGGGAACTTCACCACTGATTTCCAATATAAGGGAGTACTTAAGTAGCCACCACCAATGTAATGGGACACTTCTTCCACTGGCCATCAATGTGAGGGTGAAAATTGCCAATGGCCACCAAAGTAAGGTGGACTCCACGACTGCTTCCCAATATAAGGGAGCACTTAACCAGCCACTACCAATGTAACGGGGCACTTTACCAGCACCAGTGGGCACTTCTCCCCTTACAATCAAAGGAAGGCAATACTAAACTCATCAACACTACAAATGGGAACTTATTGACTCACCACTAATATAAGGGGGCACTACACTGACCACCAGCATAATCGGGCATTTCTCCACTGACCCCCAATGTAAGAAGGTACTTCTCCACTGAACACTAATGTAGGGAGAACGTTCCCACTTGCCACTAATGTAAGAGGGGAACCTCCACTGATTATTAATGTAAGGGGTATCTTTGCACTGAGAATGTAAGGTTGCACAACTCTAACCACTTAGTGCAGTGTATACCCCAGGCATACTGCTAATCACTGCACTCTGTAAGTTTTGCTGTTCATTACATAGTCCATATCACATCACTTTGGAAGCTGTGCAATACATTACATACCCCTGATGCTGCACGCTGTAAGCTGTGATGTACATTATATATCTAAGTCCAAAGTATTCATTCTCCCTAGGAGTTGGTTACTAATTAGTGCCTATCTATTTTAAAGAAAGTTATTTTTTAAGGGAGACTCAAAAATGTGTTAGCTCTTTGTTTATATTCTGAAAGCAGAAAGGTCCCATATAATTGATTGTATGCGAAAAAGAAGAGTATCATTTTGTTAAAAATATTTTCTGTCTTGAGATTTATGTACGTCTTTGTGATTCTCATTTGTGCCACAGTAACTAAGTCAGAGCACCAGCCAGAAACAAAATAAACACGTATAGGCCATAAAAAGCTCAATTTTAAAAAAATCAGCTTTTGTTGCAAAGTTCACTTTCAATCTGGAGCTGCCCTCTTCCCAGGACTTTATTTCCTCTACAAAATGTCGTCAGTCTGATATTGAGCATCATTTAGCCCACTTCGTCTGAGCCCAGACCGCCCTTAAACACCCCAGCCTGTGACTAAACCGTGAAAGGAGCAGCAGCACAGTACTGAGCTAAAATCTGCTTTCTCCTCCTATCAGCATGTTCACTGTCCGCACATGAACTTACTGCCTCCTTCTGCTGCTTCTTCCTCTTGAACACCAACCCTGCTGAAGAGGGACTGAAAATGGCTTCTATCAAATCAAATGTAGGTACTTACACTGTCTACATTAAAAAAAATGTTACATTTGATGATGTATTAATGATTAATAAGCTGCATTCGTTTGTATATTTTATATCTACCTAGAGTTCAGCTTTAAGACATATTTTGTGTGTGTAAGGACTTTGGAATATGGGTGCAGTATATAGAAAAGTAGGCTTAGTTTTTTTTTTTTTTTTTAAATGCCCCCATAAACCCCTCCCACTGGTCAATGTGATCTGGCCCCCTGCTCTGGTAATTGCAGTTTTTCTCTCTTTAGTGAGCTGTTCCATTTTTTTTTAATGTCCCTGAATATCATGTGGAATCACAGAAGCATTGCTGTCTGGAATGACTGTATATGAGTTATTTGTCCCAGCTGTCTAATGCTATTCCCTCCAATGGATTGACATTATACGTCTATGTGTAGGGCTGTCACAAATGTTTACAAACTTTTTAGACTGGTAGAGAACTAGACTAAGGCTAAATAACTTCTTTTTAATGAGCCGTACTATTTTCAGTTTGTACTACACATGAAGTACATTTTCATTGTATTATTATTTGTTGTGCTGTATCATATTTTTATAGGCAAATATTTTACCAGCTGATTTGCATGTCATCTTTTATTACCCTATTAACATTTTATCTGTATACAGCACCTTTGTTTAGAATCTGTATTTTTCTTTTTTGTACTCTGCCAGTTCAGCTTTGATCTGTCAATAGACCTGAAGAAGGAACCTAGCATTCTGGAAGCTTGTATGTTTAATACGTTTAGTTAACCACTAAAATGTATCACATGACAATACTTTTGCCTTCTCTACCTTTGCATTCATTTGACAATTTCAGGGATTAAAAAAATCATTATAATGCTTCAACGATTTTGTATACCTATTCGTAGTAACCAGATATAGAGCTCTGACACATACAGAAATGTAAGTTTAAAAAAAAAAAATCATATTGATTTTCAACAGCTAATTATTCAGCAAGGGAATATGGAATTAGGAAGTGGAAGCAATTTCTATCCATTGTACAAAACTGCAATTTTTCTTGAAATTATGAATAGTATGTAAAGCACTGCAAAAATCCATGTTGCTATATAAACACTTACATTAACTTAAAAAAAATAAAAAAATAAATGTGTATGTACAAAAATGTGATGTTTCTTTAAATAATGAATAGTATGTAAGGCATTGCATACATTGATGGTGCTATATAAATATTTATAATACAAACAAATACAAAATGTACATACACATACATATATACACAGTATATTAAAATAAAGATTTGCTTTGAAATAAACCTGCAAGGAAACTAATTCAGAAGTTGTATAATGTTCTGATCCTGGTTTCACAACACCTGTGACCTGGAGTATGTAGACAGGGTGACACTTTAGACTATTCAGTCTTCACTGGCTGCATACTTGCTCTGGGTTTCTGAGCCACTAGGCAGTGAAACAAGATATAGTTTACAGCCCTAGAGCTTGCCAGTGGCAGCTCCTATATTTCTTTCCTGACAGGGTACCTTTAATACACTAAATGTTCTCTTGCTGATACTTTTCATTCTGAAGTGCTGAAATAAGGGGCAGCAGTTTGAATACAGTTACATCATTTACAATAGGTCATTACTACTTGTCAGACTGGCTGCAGTAGTATCATACAGATTTTATTCTTACAGCAGAATAAAAGATGCATTGTACCCAGTACACTTCCCAAATAATGAACGGTGACTATTTTCTCACCTTCTTTTCATCTGACTTAAAAAGCTTACAACAGATGTACATTATGAAGTGCCTACTATCTTTGTCAATACTAGAAATCTAAAATAGAAGCTATAACAATAGTAAATGCAGGACTTACTCCAGGGTGCTTCTTCACCTGCTTTGAAAATGATGACATCTTCCACCACATTGTGACTCAGTAGGTTCTCTGCCTTGTCCCTTCTGACTTCTGCCAGCAACAAGTCTCAGTTAAGACTCGGTTCTAGACAGGGATATTTAAGGATGGGGTGATAATAGAGGGAGGTGGGTGTGTATAAAGTATATTTGCAGCCTTCCTCTCTGGTATCCCTCCTCCTACACCTATTAACATAATTTTGTTTAGAAAAAAAAAAATGAAGGGGATGTAATTTAATTATTTTCCTACTATTTCATTCTGAGTGTAGTTTATGGTACACATAGCCCCTGGTCTCCTTGTATGTATTGATCTTTCTCTCCCCATTGCAGTGATCATTAATTACTTTGCTGTAGCCTACTGTACATGCTCTCTGTAGTATCCCATACAGAAAGAATCACCTTTTCCCTCAATTGCTCAGCTTTATTTTGATCAGTCCTCAATGAAGGTAGAGTTGTATAAAGTGCCTGGATAGCTTAACCTGTTGGTCACCATATCATTCTGCAACTGGAATTCTTAGTGGCCCCACTGCATTATCCAACTGCCTGTATTCTGCTTTTCTGCAAATGATATACAATGTTTGCTTTTTCCCAGGGGATTCTTGTACTGACATATGCTCCATCCGATAGACTCTATCGGATAGAGCATATGTCAGTACAAGAATCACCCTGGGAAAAAGCAAAAAGTGTATATAATTTGCAAAAAAAGTAGAATTTGCAGCTGCTTCAGTCGTTTTGATGGTCAAAATTACATTTAAGATCTTAGTTTTAGAGGCTGTAATAGGGAAACATTAACTACATATTCTGAGGGGAATTTATACAAATCTGGAGCAGCTGTTCACAGCAACCTATCAGCTTCTCTCTTTCATTTTCAGATCTGATGGATAAAATTAGACAACTGTTAATATTTTCAGAAGTCTAAAGGGAACTAGCAGTGGTGTTACAAGGGGAGTGCGGCCCGCACCCGGGTGACACCATGGGGGGGTGGGGGGGCGGGGACACCAAAATGACTGACATTCATTTCGGTGTCACCCCCTCTAAAAAGTCGGGAACTCGGTCATGGACCGAGAGCCCGACAGTGTAAGGAGGGAGGAAGGGACCCTGCGGCATACCTCACCCCACCGGGTGAACATCCCCTCTTCTCTCTATCGGCGTCCATCACCAAGATGGCCACTGACAGGTGTCAATTAGATGGCCTGACATGCGCGATGACATCACGGTGGAGTGGCACCTGGTTTCCGCTCCAGGTGACACCCGGCCTCGGGACGCCCCTGGGAACAAGCCCCATTTTTTTCATAAGGTAGACAAGGGGAGTAGTGAGGAACCTTCTAATACATCAGGTAGTTTCAACTTAGAGGAGGTTGACCAATTAGAAAAGTATGGGTCGTGTTTGCCTGGTGGGAAAAAAATCAGACCCTGTTAGAGGTATAAGTATTGAATTATAAGGGTAGTTAAAAAGGTAAAGTAGAGGAAGATAAAAGGTCTCTCTGAAGGACGAAGCCAAACAATATCAACTAGTGGGGCTTCACTTGTAGTGATTTACAAAGATACCCAGAACTTCTGTGAGGTGTTGAAGGACCAGTCCGTCACCCTTGTCAATTGAGCTGCAGTAAGATAAATGCAATGTTAAAAAGAAGAATTCTTGGGTAGAGTGGAGAAATTCTTTAAAAGCCGTATCTGATCTCCATGTTTCCCGCCCATATGCTCCTGTACCCTCTACAGAAGTACAAAGCCAAAAAACCTTTGCATATTCTCTGATGCTTCTGTCAAAGCAATAGCAGCTGTTGCATACTTAAAAACTGTAGATGTTACAGCACAACGCCACGTTGGATTCGTCATGGGCAAAGCAAAACTAGCGCCCCGCCCAGAGCACACTCTCCCTAGCCTGGAACTTTGTGCTGCAGTATTAGCTGTTGAGCTAGCAGAACTTATTTCCTCAGAAATGGACATTGATCTCATAGATGCCAAGTTCTACACTGACAGCAAGGTAGTTTCAGGCTACATCTACAATGAGACCAGACCGTTCTATACTCATGATAACAGCAAAGTGCTAAGGATCAGGAGATCCTCCAGCCCAACACAATGGCACCATGTTCCCATGGCTCATTTTCCTGCAGACCATGCTACGAGGGCTGTTCTGCAAGTCATCCTAAGAACACAACATGGCCTACAGAGCCTGCTCTCTTATATGACACAGGACAGACTGTGTCCCAGAGTGACACGTTTGAGCTGGTGGATGCAGACTCAGGTGCTGGGGTCTGTCCTGGGATCTCTACACACTTCAAGAAGTGAAGTCAAACAGTAAAATTAAATTTCGCAAATACAAGAAACTCAACTTGGAATTCTTTCCTTTTGAGTTGTTGCCTACCTTGCTCGCATCAAAGCTAACTTACAGAGAGTCAACAACCACCTCAGTGGCAAAGGGGACAGGGGTGGGTGTGGGCAGAGGGGTAGATGCATGCAGACAGGCCCAGCGCTACCGCAAGTCAAGTCAAGCGGCCGCCTGAGGGCGCTGCATGATGAGGCCGGGAAAAACAGGGCATTTTGACAAGTACTTGTACTTGTCAAAATGCCCCGATGCTTGCGCTATGATTTTTTTTTTCTTCACTTACCTTCGGTGCGGGAGAGCAGTGGCGAGTCAGTGCTGGTCCAGTGGGAGGACCCCACCTGGAGCTCCTCCCACCGGACCAGCGCTGACTCGCCGCTGCTCTCCAGCACAGCGTGCCGCTGACTACAACCTCACCAGCGAGGCACCTTCATCGAGCAGTAAGTGAGGGCAGGGGGGGTCCCTAATAAGAACTAATGATTATTAGCAGGTGATAATTGTGCAATGATTATTAGCAGGTGTAATTGATAATTGTAGAATTATCCTCTGCTAATATGAATGGATTAAATGATCTATAGTAATATGTACAGAACATGTAGTTGTACTACGGGTCATTTAACCCATTCATGTTAGCCGAGGATAATTGTAAATCTATTGTCTGCAGTGTATACTCTATATGTAGTACATAGTACATGTACGTTACACACGTCCACTGCACTACAGCAATAGATTTACAATTATCCCATGCTAACATGAATAGGTTAAAAGATCCATAGTACATAACATGTAGTTGTACTACGGATCATTTAACCCATTCATGTTAGCAGGGGATAATTGTAACTCTATTACTGCAGTGTACGTGCTGTATACGTGTATGTGCTGTATATGTACTGGATGGATCATGATTTAACCTATTCATGTTAGCAGGGCAGAATTGTGAGCGCCTCCCACAAGCTGAGCACCGAGACGCGATGCAGCGATCCTGCCCAGCGACGACTACAAGAGGCACCGCGTGAGGCTACAGGGATCGGAGTGAAACTGTGGGTGAGGGAAGCTGGGACGGGGCTGGCTGTAAATCTATTGCTATAGTGTACTGGACGTGTGCAATGTATATGTAGTACATATATACAGCACACACCTCCACTACACTCCAGCAATAGATTTACAATTCTCCCCTGCTAACATGAATAGGTTAAATCATGATCCATAGTACATAACATGATAACATGTAGTTGTACTATGGATCATTTAACCATTTAACCAGTTAGTGGAAAGGGAGTGCGGCTAGTGCTAGTTTATGGTCCTGCTCAACATATTTTGCGGTTCTCCGTACTGTTATGGCGGGGGGACGGGGGTGCAAAAATGCACCTTCGCCTGTGTAGGCAAAAATCCTTGCACCGGCCCTGGTCAGTAGGTATAGAGTATTCAATCTGTAATTGGATAGAAAACTGGCTTAAAGACCGTATTCACAGAGTGGTGATCAATGATTCATACCGTGAATGGTCTGAGGTTGTAAGCGGTGTCCACCAAGGTTTAGTGTTGGGCCTCTTACTGTCAGTAAAGTAAATCATACACAGTGTAATATTATATTAAATACAGTTTTTCTTGCCCATGATTGCTGTTTCTCTGAACTGAAAGTCAGCTTATTTCACACACTTGGCAAATCAGGCTCACTAATTAGCAATAAGGCCAACCAATCAAATTTGAAAATATGTGTTTAAAGGACAGTTATTGGTTTCTTCATAGCAATACAAACAGTTCTCACATCATACACTGAAACATACATTAACCAGTTGCCGTCCGCCCGTAGAATTCTCATTTTGTCTCTCATAGTTGAGGTCTACCTATGATACCAATTACAGGCCTCTCTCATCTTTTTAAGTGGGAGAACTTGCACAATTGGTGGCTGACTAAATACTTTTTTGCCCAACTGTATATGTGTGCAGGGCTGGCGTTAGCGCAAGGCAACATGGGCAGCTGGGAGAGCATCCCGGTATTTAAAAAAAAACATTTTCATGATCCTGCTGTGGCAGGATCATAAAAAGCATGTATAGATATGAAGAAGTTGTACAACTGACAATACTAGTGTTATGGGACTCGCAAAGCGGAAACATGTCCCTGAGCATATATATTGTTCTAAGGGAATGCAAAAATAGTCTAAAGATGGAGCAGATATTGATTCCAAAACATGTATCAACAATGTACTTCAATCAACGAGGCGGACAATCATTTTATTCTTGTCTTTCTGCCTGGAAACAATTAACCACTCCCGCTATCTATTTTTATGACAAGTGTATGCTTTGTGAATGTTCACAGCTATCTATGTAATTACTTTCCACATTAGGAGATAATTTGCAAAACAGTAATTGACCAACCCACAAACAGACAGTAAACAATAAAGTAAAAATGGCTAAAGCTATAGAGCCACTCCAGGAAAAAAAAAAAAAAGTATTTAATAATTGAAAATGTAATGATATTCAAGAAAACATTGCAATCGTACTAACTAAAATCCACACGCTTTCAAGGACAAATGTCAGGACAAGATGAAAACATAAACAAATTCAATACATTTCTCCAACACATGCCTATGCTTTGTCCCTTTAAAATGCTGAAAGTACAGAAAAGTACTTGTTGATCTGCCAGAAATCCAGTGTGTGTCCCTGCCTGCTGGACTACAGAGGACCGCCTATGCCCCATCCTCTTGGTCTCGTTTCACAAGCATACACCAATTTCTTTGGTCTC